AACAAGAAGACATATTTTCTAACCTGAGAGAGTTTGTAAGTCCAGAGTGAAAGATAAATATTAACAAAATAATCACAAAAATAAATGCATAATAACAAGCCATAGAAAGTACTTTATTGGTAAATAAATGAGCACTGAAGGCATATGAGGGGATACTGTGGGTAGAAGTCAGGTGGGATCAGAGTCAAGACAGGCACTGTCAGAACGTGATGTTTAAGTTGAACTGTGAAGTAGGAGAATGGGGCAACTAAATAAATCATGCCCCAAGAATAGCAAAAAACATGTGAAAAGGCCATGCAGTAAGCATCAGATGTATTCAAGAAAATGAAAAGCTCTAAGGGTTGCTATGATTTGAACTAGAGACTGGGAGGTGTAAGATAAAGCAGAATTGGTAGGGATGTTCACTTAATTCTTAATGATTTCATTTTTATAATTAGACTATATTAAATATCAGGCTGACATAATGAAATGCCGTAGACTGGGTAGCTTAAATGACAGAAGTTAATTTTCTTACAGTTTTGGAGGCTGGTCTGGTTCTGGTGAAGGCTCTCTCCTGGCTTGCAGATGACCACCTCTCACTGTATCTTCACATCAAGGGGGTCTGAGGAAGGAAGACAGAGAAAGATCTCTTCCTTTAAAAATAATAAGGCTATAGTCCTAGTGAATTAGGGTCCAATCTTTATGGCCTTATTTAACCTTAATTACCCCCTAAAGACCCTATCTCCTGATATAATCATATTGGGGACTAGGGCTCTGACATATAAATTTGGAGGGAACACAATTCAGTCCATAGCAAAGTCCACCAGAATGTCATTGAATGACTTAGAACAATGAGATATGATCATATTTAACAAGATAACTCTAGATGTGGGGTAGAGAATGGACAGAAGAGGAGCAAGGGTGAACAAGGGATCCAGTTAAGAAGTGTTTTGCAGTAGTTCACTTGAATTCAGACTGAGCTTAGTGAAGTGCTATTGGAAAGAAGATTTAAGTTATATAGGAGAAAAAATTGAGAAGGTATAGCAATTCATTTAAAATGATACTGAAGTGTTTGGGTGGTATCGCTCAGTGGGTGGGTATTGACCCATGAACCAGGAGGTCACAGTTTGATTCCCAGTTAGGTCACATGCCTGGGTTTTGGGCTGGATCCGCATTTGGGCTTGGGAGCATGTGGGAGGTAGCTGATTGACGATTCTCTCTCATCACTGATGTTTCTCTCTTTACCTCTCCTCTCTTCTCTCTGAAATCAATAAAAACATATTTTTAAAAAATGATACTGAAGTTATAAAAGGAACTAAGGATGGCATTTAGGTTTCCAGATTGCTCAACTAAATGGGTGATGAAGTCATTCAATGAGATATGCAACACTGGAAGAGGTCTAAGTGTGGGGGGAAGTTCATGAGTTCATTGTGGTATATGGTATATTTAAGGTGCTTCAATACATTACATAATATTTTGTCAGAATTATTAATACTAAATGCTGAAAATAATACCATCTAAATATTAATGCCTTAACACAATAAGAGTTTCTTATTTATATCATAGCCTGATGTAGTGCTCCTTAGGCTCCCTGAGATACTCCTCCAAGTAGTGACTCAGAAATTGAAGCTAGCCTTGGCCACTAATGCTAAGTGGTTATAGCATCTCCAGAGCACTGAAGGGTCACAGGTTTGATTCCTGGTCAGGGCACATACTCAGGTTGTATGGTTGATCACTAGTCGAGGCATGTATGGGAGTATGGGAAGCAATAGATTGATGTTTCTCTCTCACATTGATGTTTCTCTCTCTCCTTTCCTCTCTGTCTAAAATAAATAGAAACATATGCTCAATTGAGGATTGAAAAAAAAATCCAAGAGAATGTCCTTCTTTAGATGATGCTTCTGAGATCACCCCAGAAAGGAAAGAGAAAATATGAATGAACGCATAGGGGATGTGCTGTTCAGGGCTGGAAGTGGCATGCATAATTTTTATCCCATAACCCAGTCAGAATGCAGTCACATGTCCTAACTACTTCAGTGGAGACTTGGAAATATAATTTCTATGAACCAAGAGAGAGGAAATTGTATTAGTTAGCATCTCTGCCACATTTGCCTGTGCTAGGTACTCTTCTAAGTCCTCTATATGTTTTAATTAATTTATTCTTCACATCAGTCTTATAAGGCACATACTATATTATCCCCATATAACAGATTTAAAAAACAAACAAGATACAGAAACTTTGAGAAACTTGTCAAAGCTCACATAGTCAATAAGGGGAACCTAGGATTTGAATTCAGGTGATCTAGCTCCAGATGCCTTTTAATGAGTACATAATACCAACTTCTTTAAGTTGAGATTCAGTGTTTGGTAGAATGTATAAGTCTAAAGCTAAAGAAGAAATTTTTGCTGGAGATAATACATTTGGGAATCACTGGTGTAACTCAGGGTTTCCCAACTTCAGCAGTGTTATTTGGGGCTAGATAATTCTTTGTTAGGGGCTGTCCTATGCAAAGTAGGATGCTTAGCAATATCCTTGGCCTCTACACACTAGATGCCAGTAGCATTCTTCCTCCAGCTGTGACAACAAAAAATGCTTCTAGACATTGCCAATATACCACGGGGAGCAGAACTGTCCCTGGTTGAGAATCACTGAAAGTCATGAGTATGTTTGAAATTATGATTATTTTACAATATATTTTTTATTGATTTCAGAGAGGGAAAAAAGAGATAGAAACATCAATGAGAGAGAATCATCAATATGCTGCCTCCTGCATGCCCCCTACTGGGAATCCAGCCCACAACCTGGGCATATGCCCTGACTGGGAATCGAACCATGACCTCCTGGTTCATATGTTGATGCTCAACCACTAAGCCACGCTGGCCTGGCTGGTTGAAATTATTAAAAGAAAAAAGTATAAACTGAAAAGAGACAAGGGGCTAGTACTGAATCTTAACGAATTTCAAAATGTAATAGCGGAAAAGGAAGATGGGCTGGCTAAGGATAGTAAGAAAGAATGGCCAGAAAGGACATTTAAAATGGTAAGAAAGTTAAAGTAAAAGAATACTGCAAGAAGGAACAAGGGGTTAACAATGTTAAATGCTACTGAGAGATTTTGTAAAAGAAAGATTGACAAATGTCAATTAAATAGCACAAGTTCATTGGTTACCATCGCTAGAGCTATTACAGTTGATAATAGGATAGAACCCAGATAATAGTGGAGTGAAGAGCAAAAAGTAAGGCACTGCCAATCTTTTGGAAAGGAAGAAACAGTAGCTGAAGACGGGTGTGGGATCAGAGGAGGATTTTTTTTTTTTTTTAAAAAAACCTGACAGAGACTTGAGAAAGCTTAAAAGTTGATGGATGATTCCAGTTCTTTGAACTGACTTGTGACAAAGAATAATCAATAGTGTAATGTTCCTAAAGAAGCAGATAGAAGGACTGGACCTATGATGGGTGGAAACAGTGTCCCTGTGGTAACTGAAGGTAAAGTGCCCAGTATGGTGCACTCTCCGGCAGACACCTTACATTTAGCATTTCTAAGTAAGAAAATACCTTTCCCACAAAAACCTGTAATTGCTCCTGTATTGCCTAATATTAATATTACTGTTCTCCTCTTTGACTAGTTCATGGAACCCCCATCTTCTTTCTCATCCTTATCCTCTTCCTAAATCTATTCCAATTATAATGTAAGTTGAATCAGAGCTCTCTTTTTCCGTTGCCAAAAATCAGTGCATATTTTTATTACTAGCTCAAATGTCACTTTTTCTCAAAGCTTTTCCTAGGTCTCTCAGCCAAATAAAATTTTATGTATTTAACACGAAAAGAAAAACAGAAGGGGCAATGTCAAAATAAAAAGTATTACGTTACTGTGTTATGAATTACTCTCACGAGAGTGTCCTGTTACTCATAACATTTCATTCTTTACAACTGTAGACACATGGATTGGTTGCCCCCCTAACGTGCCCGGTGATTGAGCCTGCAACCCGGGCACATGCCCTGACTGGGAATTGAAGCCACGATGCTCTAACCAAAACCGCTAGGGCTTTTTTTTTTTTTTTTTTTTTTTACTAAAAAAAATATTATAAATCATTATTTGGTCTTACACACCTTGCTTAAGTAGAACACATATAACACGGCAGACCAATTGTCGAATAAATGTGGATTCAATGCACCCACCAAGTCAGCCCTGTGGATTGTCTGTTCTTTAGAAGCACAGTAAATTTGGAGAGGAGCTTGCCAAACGTGCTCTAAATTTTGGGTCTATCTACTCTTGTGGTGGACTCTACTGGCACTGGATTTTAGTATTACCCTGAACATAGCCAGTCCTTTGCACCAGCACCTTGACCTGAAGCAATTGGTGGAGGAATAAAACGATAACGTGACATGGCTCTGGGTAACTTCTATTTGAATTTGCTTTGAGGTAAGGCTTCTGTTTCCCATATAACATTTTGGTCGCGCGCTATAATTGGCTGGTTCTTAAAACACTTGAGTAGTCCAGTTTACCTTGGTGTTTTTCAAACTTCGCCGAACTCCAGTGAAACCTGTAATTTTCACTACAAGGTTGAGGAGCCCATTGTATATGACCTGGAACCATTTCCCAATCCTCTCATTTCTTGCTGTTATGCAGTATTTGCCCACTTGGAAGACAGCTTCAGATTATCTGGTAAATTCCGTGCAGACGGGCCAGTCGGAGTGAGCATGGACAACATGTGGACTCACGTCTCCCACTCCCACATCTTCCAGTCCCTAAGGCTGGGACCCCCACGCCACCCCTCAGTCACCTCAAGCACCTGGCCTAGAGGCCACGCCCTCCTCTTGCCCCACGAAGCCTGGAGAGGGGGGGTGTCTGCCTCCTCTCGCTCCTCCCAGGCGTTCGCTCCTCGTCCCACTCTCGTCGCGAGGCCATTGCCAGCACCTTCACGCCCTGGCTCCGCCCCCTCCCGCTCCCCAACGTCCTTGGCGTCGGGCTCGAGCCTGCGCCTGCGCGTGCGCCCTGGGGCCGAAGTCGGGGCGCGCGGTGGCCAGAAAGCGGAGAGCGGCGGGCGGTGCAGCCAATGGGAGGCGGCGATGGCTAGCGGCTGTGAGGCGGGGCCTGCGCGGGTGTTAGGTTCGCGCGAGGCGTGACCTAGTTGACAGGCTCCGAGGTGCTGCTGTGGCGGCGTCCGCGGGGCTGAGGCGGGTGGGAGCCGAAGCCGAGCGCGGGCTGAGGGAGGAGGGCGGCGACTGGAGCTGCGAGCGGCGTGGGACCCGGAGCCTTTTTCACTTTTTCCCTCCCGAGTGCCCCCTCCCAGCCCTCCCACTCCACACTACCCTGTTTGCCCGTGAGCCTGGGGAACTTGCAGCTGAAAGCCAGCCACCCCCACGGCAACATGTACCCCAGCAACAAGAAGAAAAAGGTGTGGAGAGAGGAGAAAGGTAACGGCCTGCCGAGTCCTGGGGCGCGGGTGGGGGTGGGTGAAGGGTGGGGGTTGGGGGTCAGGGCAGTGTGTGCCGCGGTGCCCTCCGCCCGAGCTCCCGCCTCGCGCCCGCCCGCCCGGTGCCGCCTCCCTCGTGTGTTCGTGTGTCCACACCCGCGCTCCCCCCCCGGCGTGCACGCGCCGCCCCCGGGCGCCTGCCGCTCGCGCACGGGTGGGCGCACGCCCCTCGCGGCCGCCCGCTGCGCCCAGTCACCTCTCCGGACGGGGCTGCCGCAGCCTCACTCGCGGCGTGGACACGGACACCCGCTCCACGCCGCCGTCCCCGGGCCCGGCACAACTTCCCTGGGTCCCCCCACCCGGGCTCCACGCTCCTGCTGGGACTTTCGCACGCCTGGCCGGCGTGTCCCACGGACACGTGCCCGCCGGCGGACACACCCGCTGCGGCCGCCGCCGCTGCGCCTCTGCTCCCCTCCTGCAGGCACTCTTCGCCCACCGGCTGGCAGGGGGTCCCCACCTCCGGGCGCAGGTCCCTTCTCTGGGTCCCCCACTTCCGCGCCGCAGGGTGCCTTGAAGCCTGGAACTCTTCTTGGGGGAAACCTCAACGAGCGTCTTGTCCGTGAGGAGGAGTGCCGTCAGGGACATCTCGGTGGGCTTTTCTCTGCGCGGGCTGCTTCTCGACATTCCACCCCCGTTCATAGTGTGAAGTGGCTCAGAGTAAGGTAGTGAGACGGATGTCACTCTCCGTGAATGAACCCACCCGGCTTCTGAGCATATCCAAGCTGATCCACGTCCCCGCAAGTGGCACTGATTTCTGTAAGACACAGAAGTGTGCCTGCCAGCCAACCTCTTCTCTTCTCTTCTGTTCTCTTCTGTTCTCTTCTCTTCTCTTCTCTTCTCTTCTGTTCTCTTCTCTTCTCTTCTCTTCTCTTCTCTTCTCTTCTCTTCTCTGGCATGATAGATAGATAATATTCTAAGGCAGCGGTTCTCAACCTGTGGGTCGCGACCCCTTTGGGGGTTGAAGGACCCTCTCACCAGGGTCGCCTAAGACCATCGGAAAACTCATATATAATTACATATTGTTTCTGTGATTAATCACTATGCTTTAATTACGTTCAATTTGTAACAATGAAAATACATCCTGCATATCAGATATTTACATGACGATTCATGACAGTAGCAAAATTACAGTTATGAAGTAGCAACGAAAATAATTTTGTGGTTGGGGGGGTCACCACAACTTGAGGAACTGTATTAAAGGGTCGCGGCATTAGGAAGGTTGAGAACCACTGTTCTAAGGTAAAACTTGAAACTCGAGTTTTTTTCTTTCTTCTTTTCACTCCTTTTTATTCTTTAGCTTTTCTGCAGAAATGGAGCAAAAAGCACTTACATTGCTATCTGCTGAGATATACTAAACCTGTGCATGGTGTGAGGTTGAGTGAGGAGTGCACATCTCTCCTAAGTATCCTATCTTCTTTATAGAAGAAGGATATGGAATGACTAGGTTGAAAGTTGATTTCCTTGATTATAGCTCTCTAAAACCTGTAGATTTTTATTGCAAGTCCTGGCCTCTGTAAACATCTAGGCAAATAGTGGAAAAGAAATGAATGTGGGAAAAGGATTCTCTCTATAGGGGCTACTTCAAACAATGTACAAGGAAAGGGTTGAAAAGGGAATTTTTTTTCCAATTAACTACTGGGAAGATTTAACATAACAACTGAAAACTGATGAAAATGGTTTCTAAGGTATTGAAAGAGTAGGTTGTATGTTATTTAATTATGTTTTAATGATTATGATCATATATAGAACTAAAAATTGTGTTGTCACAAAACAAATGCTGTTGAAAATAATAGCCTGATATATAAAGCAGTGTGAAATAATTGTTTTGTTTTTGCAGTAGCAGTTACTTTACTTTCAACCAGGATTTACTTTGTAAGCATTGAAAAATCATTTATACCCATTTTTATTGATGGCCTTCAAATGTAGCTTTGTATGATTGATAGTATCGAAGGCAAAATAATGAAAGATATGGAGATTGATTTTAATACGTGAATCATTAATGAAATTATAGTGATTACTTAAGAACTATTTTTTCTGTCATAATAGACAATGTTCCTGAGTAATATTATAATGCTTCCTTCATTTAACATCTACGCAGTTGAACTGTGATAAGCAGGCTTTTTAGAATCTTCAATGTCTTAGTTTGCTAGTAATTATAAGAGAATATATAACCAAATTAATATTTTCTAAATAAAGAAGCACATGCACAATTAAGAAAGGCATTTAACAAAATAATTTCTCTTGTACAAACGATCCTATTTTTGCCTGAAGTTTAATGTTAAAGGGAAAACTTATTGAGACTTGAAGACTTTAATATGTGTCTCTGTCTTATTAGGACGTCTGTTTTTGAATAGTTAATATTTTTAAAATATATATTGTACCATCAAGAAGGAGCTAAAGATTTCAGTACAGTAGTTAGTATTAAAGAAGCTGATGACCTTTTTCCATTTATTGCACTGGAGAGGATGGTGTCATATTTTTGGAGCTGTTATTTAAACCTAAAAGCTTACCCACCTCATTGAAATATCAAGGCATTGTATAAACATTTTAACTCAGTATACCATCTAATAAGTAGGTCTGCCTGCTTATATGCTTGATTAACAAAGAAAGGATTTATTGCAAAGGTGAAGCATTCTTCAAGGAAAAGTTTGTGTAATACCAAAAAAACTATTTAGTATATGTATGTAGCTTTCAGTATGTCTCATTGTTTAAACGAATAGCTAACATCTAGTTAACTAGATGTTGTTGATCTAGTATTTTGAACCCTAATTCAAAACTACTTAATGTGTATTACAATTTCAAGTACTGAAACTATCTCATTTTTATCTTATTGTCTTATTATAGATCTTGCTTTGTCCTAAGTGTCCACACTTAAACTTTTAAATAAATGCAATGAAAAAGACTAGGTTGCTTTCCCATATGTACCTTCTGACACTCATTAAAACTACAATTGCTTCATATATTTCAACCTGATTAGTAATATTGCAATATTTCCATATTAGTGATCTGAGCTTTTTTAGAAGTGCTTTAATAAGCTCTAGTCATCCCCTTTCCTGCTGTGTGATTATTTAAATTTACTATCCCCTTCAAGCTTCCTATTCCATCAAGACCCCATCCTCCTACTAAACAGATGATATTGCCTTTTTTTGTTTGTTTGTTTTAATAAGAGAAAGTTTATTTAGGAGGCCATAGAGGTAGAAGTGAGCTTTAGAAGAAATGGGCTCAGAAACAAGTTTCAGCAAAAGAAGGGCCCTTGGAATTTAGGAGATGGAGACGGGGCGGGGGGGGGGGGGGGCTGTGGGGGGGAAGGCAGACACACTGGGTCTTTAGAGAAGTAAGAGAGGAGAGGTTTGAGTGGAAAGGGAGAAGGAGAGAGAATGAATGAATGAGTGAATGAGAGAGCATGAGGGAGCACCGTTGCAAGCCCTGGAGAAAGATGGGATTGGGGAAAGGCCTGGGTGTGCTCCATAGAACTGCCAGAGGTTGCCTTTTAATTCATGGAGAAAATACATGTCATATAACATGAATAACTGCATAGTATTATTTGTCTCTTTCTTCACAGGTTCTTTGTCTTTTCAGCTTTGTTTCTATCTTAAAGAAAGCACTTTTCTTCTTTGTTTCTAAGATTAATCCCTCTGTGCTGTCACATCTCTTGAATTCTTTGAGATCTTGTGCTATCATTTATTCCCTTTCGGGTATGTTTAGTTTCTGAGTGTCTTCAGGTTCCTCTCCTCAACCTATATGAATACTCAAGTCTCTTCTACCCTAGCGTAGCCTTCCTTTTGATATCATTGTAAATAAGATGGGTATTAACAGGAAAGGAACAAAGGGAAGGCCAGATAATATAGGCATGCCATTTATGCCAGGTCGCTGAAGTTCTGTTCCACGCAGATCCTGAGGAAAGGGACTGGACAAAGGAAAACTAGATGCATACCTAGTAAGGTCTGGGTGACACAGGGAAGGTACTCAGTCACCTGTGAACAGGTCATTGGCCAGAATAGGTGTGGCCATTGCAAACTTGGGAAAATTTGATACACATGTCATATAACATGAAGAACTTCTGAACAAAGGAGCTCTCTCTCTTGCACACTTGGCTACTGGCGCTCTAGTCACAGGGGGTGCACTCCACTGCAATACCTACATGGCTCACGGCCATGTGGACCCCACACACAATGGACTGATGGACTACAATTAGTCTGATACTACACTGGCCCAAACTCCATCATGGAATGGAAACTCTGGACACTGGCTTTGCTTTTAGTTCTACTGAATTCCCAGTTGTACCTCTTCCAAAACTGGTTTAAGGGAAATGGGACTTTGCAAGACAAAGGATATAATTCCATGCAAATAGAGCTTTCTACTATAGCTCATCCTCCCTTGGGGGCCTCCGGAAATTCTTATTCCAATGGTACCCCAAGAATCCCACTCCCACTCCAAAGGAGAAGGGCAATCCATGCAATTCTCCCATAAAACTTTCATCTTGGAGTTTGCTATTTTCATTTATTTTTCTCAGTCTCTCATAGCCTCCTGGACCCCAGTTACACTCTAATAAAACTGATTTTCTAAAGTCATTCTGTAATAACAATGATGATGGTACTAATATAAAATAGTTACTGTTACTATTTGAGTCCTACTCAGTACTTTTCTAGGTACTTTACATGGGATCTCATTTAATTCTCACAACACTCTGGGGCAGTGATGGCGAACCTTTTGAGCTCGGCGTGTCAGCATTTTGAAAAATCCTAACTTAACTCTGGTGCCATGTCACATTAGAAATTTTTTGATATTTGCAACCATAGTAAAACAAAGATTTATATTTTTGATATTTATTTTATATATTTAAATGCCATTTAACAAAGAAAAATCAACCAAAAAAATGAGTTCACGTGTCACCTCTGACACGCGTGTCATAGGTTCGCCATCACTGCTCTGGGGTATTATACTCTAGGGTCAAGAGCTTTAAACACCATGTGCATAGATTTGAACCCTAGGTGTAGTGCTTTCTATCTGTAACATCTTAGGTAAATTATTTAACCTCTCTGTTTTAGTTGCCTCACTTGTAAGTTGAGAATAATACCTACCACCTATCTCAAAAGGAAGCTGAATCATAAGGAGCTTAAGTAACCCAAGATCACATGGATTTGCATGATTTGGCATTAGAACCCAGACCATTTTGTTCACCACTTTATTCTCTTTTCAGTGCTTTGGGTGATCCAGTTGATAAAACCAATGATTTATTAATTTTTATTCTTTCTGATCTTCCTGTAGCAATTGGTAATATCTCTTCTCTTCTCCATATTTAAACTCTTTGCTGGTTTCCACATCACTGGGACCTTGATTCACCATGTGCCCCAAGTGACATCTAAACTTCATTTCATTTTATCCCTTCTTTGTGTGTACTCCCTAAATTTTTTATTTTTAAGCTTTGCTCCCCTCCCTTATCCTTCCCTGTGAACTTCCTGTAGGACTAGAAGTTTAGGTTATAATTTCCAAAATCTCTAGGTAGACCTCTCTCCTGAGTTCCAGATTCTTGATTTCAACTTGAACGCCCTTTCGGTATCTGAATTTCAATAGTGTTGACCCTTGAGTATTGTAGTATTGTGATTTGAATATATCCATCTGATTAAAATACAGCTTTTGTTGTTGTTGTTATTTTGTCTACTTATGTGGTTGAAGAAAAGCAACTTCTAGGAGTGGGGAAAAATATTGGCTCCCTGTTTCTTGTTCACTTGTGTTTACATGAATACTTTCTACAGTTTATTTCTTTGGAATAATTTTTCAAAGGGATTATTTTGTGTTAGGTTATCTAATGCTAGATACTATCCTTAAATCCATCACCTAAACTTTAATACCTTGTAATATGCTGAAAGAAAATTGGAGAGGGAGAATACAAACTTTGGTAAAGTATGTGATATAAGACAACTGACTTATAGAATGAGTGAAGATGCCAGTGTCAGTTTTTATATTGACTAGTAGTAATTTTTAATTTCTTCCTTATTTCTTTAGGTTAAAAATATAAATATAATTATATACATTTTTCTTTGTATCCTAGTGGATAATTTTATGTACCTTCTGGGATATGCATAATTAACTTTGAATATTAGTGGTCTACTTTATAGGATAAAGATTTAACTGTTCAGCATGGTATACAAGTTCCTATACGATTTTATTTTAATTTTTGTTTCAAGTTACTTTTCACTTCAGTGGCCACTTCTCTTTTCATAGCATATCTTGCAGCTTCATTAAACTATTCTTATTCCTTATCTTTGTTTACATTACTCTTTAGTCTGAAATATCCTTACTTTTTACCTCTTCATGATAAAATTCTCCCTGTTAGGAACCAGCATACACATCACCTCTTTTGGGGAGCTTTTCTTGAGAAGGCAGTACAGTATAGTGGCAAATTGTATAGGCTATAGTTTCTAATGGCGATATCTGACTGGATTTTCATGGAAAGTTCTCTTGCTCAGGACAGATTAATGAACTTTGATGTGCTTTATTTCCCTATCTGAAAATAGAGATACTAATACTATGTATTTGTTGAGTTGTTGAGATTATTTCAATAAAATTATATATGTGAAGTATCTGGCACACGGTGAATTCTTTATAAATGACACCATTATTATCAATTCTAAGATGCATTTAAAAATATTTTAATCTTGTAATCGATATATATTTAAAGTATTGTTTACATCACTTCCAGACAGGTGTTATTAAATTAAAAGTGCACTTTTATTGTTGATGGCATCTTCAAATTAAAATATCTTGGTGACTGCCTTTCTTATGCTCTTAGCATTTATACATACCTGTTTTAGGATTTAGTGTTTTATTTATGTAGCTGTTATTTTGTCTCATCCATTTCCTCTTTTTGTCTTGTGAACTTCTCAAGGTCAAGGATCTCCTTTGTATTTGCAATGTGTAAACATATCACGTGGCACACAGTAGACTATCAATAGATGTTGATTGGAAGAGTTTCCTTATTGTTCTTTCTGCTAATATAGTGTTAATTCGACATCTTTTTACACTTCAAAGTAGAGTCATTAGATTTGCATTCTGGTGTTTCTCAAGCCCACATTGATTCTTTTGGTAGTTTAGCATGGTTAATATTTAAGTTATAAAATAATTCCTGATCTTAAAAGTTAAATACAAATGAAAGTTCTACTTTTATTTTGCAAGAACGCTTACTGAAGATGACCCTAGAGGAAAGACGCAAAGAATACCTAAGGGACTACGTTCCCCTGAACACTATTTTATCGTGGAAGGAGGAAGTGAAGGGCAAGAGCCAAAATGATGGTAAGTTTCTCAGAATATTTTTCAGGTAGATACTGTTTCCATTTTTTTAATGACTTCTGCAGGACAATTTTTGGCAAAAATGAATAATAGGAATTCAATAAAGAAATGACAGTTTTGCTATTTTAAATCATTGTCAGTTGTCATTTAATTATTTTTAGCAATCTATTATATATTATTTAAATTTAGAAAATTATTATTTTTAAAATTTTTTAAAGTTCTAACCCTAACCTTAACCCTAACCATTCTAAAATACACCACGATTATATTATGGTACTCTTTTATGGGTACTTTAAAAAAATTACATTGCAGTAGTTTTTGGAGCAAATGATATTAGAGATTATGGTGTGACCCTTTGAGTTTGTTTTGATTAGGTTTACTTATATTGGATTTCTTCAGTTTTATTTTAAGGATTGGATATGTTTCAAAGACAGTGTATCAAAAAGAATAGAGAAAAACCAAATAACACTTCACATAATTTTAGAGAAGAGTATACAGGGTGTCCCTAAAAAATGTATATACACTTTAATAGCTGATAGCTCAATTTTGAAAATGAAATGCATTTTTATAAACATTGCCTTTATAATTATTCAAAGTGTGTTTATACATTTTTTGGGGTCTGGTATTATATCTACATATAAAGTATTATATGACAAATTTACTCTTTATCAAACTTGTTATGATTTAGAGTCTAGATTGTTTGAGGGGAAAATATATGTATTAAAATATAAATGAAATTTTTACTATTACAAAGGTTCATGGAAGAAAATTCTAAAAGCAACATAGTAAATTTAATGTATGTTTAATATGTTTATCTCTGAATTAAAATTTATTGGTGTTTATGGTCTGGATGTCAAGTTTAAAAGAAATAGGGTGCTTTTTAGGATATGTAACAGTTGAGAAACAAAGGTAACTTTAAAAAAGGAAATTGGAACATGCTGATTTCACAGATTGTGGTCTTTGATGGAACTATACAGGATATTATGGCCCAAAATAAGAAGACTAGCATGGAGTTCCTATGTACAAAATCTGTGGGAAGTAGCAGCCAAATTAAGATTTAGAACCTGTGAAGAAAACACATTGACCTGAGAGTTTGGGACTTTAGACAGAATTTTGTTTTTCTAGAAAGGCAAATCATGTGGGTTCTTTTAGACCCTTCTCTGCCTGGAAAAGTGTGCCCTTGGCAAGTGGGTAGTGTGTTTACCCCTAGTTCTAGTGGGGGTCATTAGCTGATTGCGATGTACAGATCTGACCTCCTTGCACAGTGTCTTAAGTAAATGCAAGTTATTTTAATAATAGTCTAATCAAGACATCATTGAAAGAGTAGGTAGTGCTGTGTAATGAAAAGAATACAGAGCTAGATATCAAAAGGACAGAATTCTGGGCCTTCTCTGACCTAGGGCTATGTGCCTCTTAATGTTTGGGTCTCAATTATTTCTTTTGTTTATATGAAGCTGGTATTGAATACTCCAGCTTTACTTTTTATGCTAATAAACCTCTCTTTTTCCCGTGCTTCATTCATCTGGTTTTCTTTCTTGGTCACAGTTTTAGCTGGTCAGTTTTCTAAGGATGCAATACATGATGTTCTTTTAAAATTGTTTTTGACTTCTGAGATAGAGTTAGATTCCTGTTGCTGCCACAGCAATTGACAAAGCAGTACTGAAACCCAGGCTGCATTGCCCAAGGTTGGGTTAGCTCACCTCTGCATAGAGGCTTGGCCTTTATGTTGGCTGCTTCTACTTGAACATTCAGCATGTAACAGTGTAGGATTGAACTGGGTTATTAAGAACTCAGTGTTGGATGTTTTTAGAGACACTACACACCAAAATGTGTCTCCCAAATCAGATAAGATACATTAACATCTGACATTGTTATTCCCTAACAAGATCCGGTGTATTTATTTAATCCTATTTCCCAATATGAGTGTTATAAGTGATTTACAACTGCTCTATGTATTTCAGTTTTTTCCTTCATGCTTTTTGAAAATGACAGGCCTTCATGGGGAACTAGGTGATATGATCAAAATTGTATTTCTATTTTTTTTTTAATTAAATCTTTATTGTTCAGATTATTACATTTGTTCCTCTTTTTCCCCCCCCATAACTCCCCTCCTCCCAGTTCCTGCCCCACCCTCCGCCCTCACTCCCCACCCACTGTCCTCATCCATAGGTGCACAATTTTTGTCCAGTCTCTTCCCGCATCTCCCACACCCCTTTCCCCCCCAAGAATAGTCAGTCCATTCCCTTTCTATGTCCCTGATTCTATTATAATCACCAGTTCATTCTGTTCATCAGATTATTTATTCACTTGATTCTTAGATTCACTTGTTGATAGATGCATATTTGTTGTTCATAATTTGTATCTTTACCTTTTTCTTCCTCTTCCTCTTCTTAAAGGATACCTTTCAGCATTTCATATAATCCTGGTTTGGTGGTGATGAACTCCTTTAGCTTTTCCTTATCTGTGAAGCTCTTTATCTGACCTTCAATTCTGAATGATAGCTTTGCTGGATAAAGTAATCTTGGTTGTAGGTTCTTGGTATTCATCACTTTGAATATTTCTTGCCACTCCCTTCTGGCCTGCAAAGTTTCTGTTGAGAAATCAGCTGACAGTCGTATGGGTACTCCCTTGTAGGTAACTGAGTTTCTTTCTCTTGCTGTTTTTAAGATTCTCTCTTTATCTTTTGCTCTTGGCATTTTAATTATGATGTGTCTTGGTGTGGTCCTCTTTGGATTCCTTTTGTTTGGGGTTCTCCGCGCTTCTTGGACCTGTAAGTCCATTTCTTTCACCAGGTGGGGGAAGTTTTCTGTCATTATTTCTTCAAATAGGTTTTCAATATCTTGCTCTCTCTCATCTTCTGGCACCCCTATAATTCTGATGTTGGTACGCTTGAAGCTGTCCCAGAGGCTTCCTACATTATCCACGCATTTTTGGATTCTTTTTTCATTTTGCTTTTCTGGTTGGGTGTTTTTTGCTTCCTCGCATTTCAAATCATTGACTTGATTTTTGCGCTCCTCTGGTCTGCTGTCGGGAGTCTGTATAATATTCGTTATTTCAGTCCGTGTATGCTTAATTTCTAGTTGGTTCCCCAATATAACATCGAGGGTCTCATTAGTTTTCTTGTAGATCTCATTAAGTTTATCGGCGGCTTCTAAACAGTTCTTGAGAGACCTTAAAAGTGTGGTTCTGAACTCTATATCTTCCATTGACAATTTTGTCCTGTTTCTTTGTCTCCGCATTTTGTTATGCTTCCTTGGTGCACCCCCTAGTGGTCTTTGTGCGCAGTCTTATAGTTAAACCTTGATTGTTGTAGCTAATACCAGGGAGGGTTTGACCTCCAGGCCAAGTGGCTATGAGAATCAGCTGTGTCTGCAGTGAGAGAACTTCTGTCCTCTAGGGAGGTGCTAATCTAGCCTTTGCCTGAGGCTATCCGGTAAATGCCTCTGTGCAGGGCTTGGGCGGGGCGGGTCGCACAGGATCAACAGGGTGGGCTGGAGAGAGCAGTTATGGCAGCTCTCAGTCTTGTCCCCAGGGGCTCTGCCTCTCTGAGTCCCAGCATCGGCTGCAAACCTCGGAGAGAAAGCTGCACTCGCTCTGACCGAAGCCAGACAGTCCCGCTTCTCCCGTTTGAGTCTGGGTCCCTAAAGACTCGCCTGTATCTGGAGCTCAGAGTCTGCGACTCCCTCCCGATTGAAAACGCCAACTGCGCCCTCCGCCGCCAGCCCGCTCCGCGCACTCCGCACCTCAGAATTTGACTTCAGCACTGCGCCTCCTCTGAGTGTCCGTATGCGTTTCTCTTTCCTCCTAGTTGTAGGACTTCCACTCAGCCAGCGTTCCTGTGGTTCTGGGTGATGTCCGTTCCGTTTTTTAGTTTCACTTTTGAAGTAGTTGTTCAAGGCAGCAATCTCCGGCGTTAACCTATGCCGCCATCTTGGTTCCTGGAGAACTTCAAAGTCCTCTGTATTTCTATTAAACAGTGCTTTATTCCCTTCATTAAATGTTACTTGTTCCTCTCTGTTGTGATGTAGAACTTGGTGACTGGTCCCTTCTTTTTTCATGAAAGAGAATGGCTCATTCTACATGCAATATCTGTTAATTTCTTTATATAATATACTAGAGGCCCGGTGCACAAAAATTTGTGCACTCGGGGGGGAAGGGGGGGGTCCCTCAGCCTGGCCTGTGCCCTCTCGCAGTCTAGGACCCCTCAGGAGATAACGCCCTGCTGGCTTAGGCCTGCTCCCGGGTGGCAGAGGGCAGACCCAATCCCTAGGTGCAGCCCCTGGTCGGGCTCAGAACAGGGCCAATTACCATGTTTCTCTTTTATTAGATAGGATATGTTTTCTAAGTACTTCCTTCTAGTGTTATGTATCTAGTCTTAGATAACTAAAATATTGGTCAAAAGAATTTTAGTATTTTTAGTTTGAAAGATCTTTGAAAAATATAAATTCCAAAAATCAAAGGGCAATTATAAATATAGTTATATTTTAATATTCTATTTTGAAACGTTTAAGCTTATGAACTAACTGCTTATAAATGTATATGTGTAGATATTGATATTTGTAGCTTTATTTTTTAAATATGAGATTTCAAACTAAGTTTTAAAAGAAGATAATTTATAATTCTTTGTCACATAGTTTCTTTTAAATTTAGTAGTTTATTATTATCTCTGTCTTTATAGAAGTTCATTTGGTCTTGATATCCATAATTACATGGAAACTTCTTAAGCTATTGTTTTAAAAATTTTTTTTACTTTGCTCAGTTTTCTTTTATTTAATTAAATGTTTATTGTTATATTGTAGTAGAAAGTTTAAAAAGGGGTGGAGAGACTGAATATGTTACTCATATTTTGATTTTAATCTGTCCTAATAAAAGGAAACCAAAAATTGCCAAGCAATATAAAATCAATGTTTGTGTAGAAAGAAAAAAGCAAGTAGATAATACAGGGTGGGGCAAAAGTATGGAAAATAATCCTATATAATAAAACCCTAATATGCAAATGGACT